TGTGGGGGGGGGGGGAACTAGGACGCAGCCAGGGGCGTCTTTGAATGGGGGGGGGGGGCATTGAATATGAGAAGGTGATCGGGCAACGGGATGGCTGAGCAGAGAGTGAAGTGGTGAGAGAAGAGAGAGAGAGTACAAAGGAGTGTGGTTGGTGAGAATGAGAGAAAAGAAGGAGACGGAGGGCGAGTGAGCGAGATGGAGACTGCGTGGATCACAGAGAAAAGGACCAATGAAGACAGAGAGAGAGACACACCACAACAAATATGGCATGGAAGGTGGTTACTAGTAGAAGTTATGAACTGGGTTCAGTTGAGCTCCTCCAGACCTGCAGGTGGTCGGCTGTGGGGATATACAGTTTTCTACGACTACAGGCTACCTGTTGCATCACACAAATAAGCATCCAACTCACAAGATCATGCAAAGCATTTACTTTCAGTGCATGGATAGCATAACAGAACTGAAAAACTGAAAAGAAGGACCAAAATGTAACTTGATAAGAGTTTGGGCGCATCCCTATTACGTGGAGTTTGGAGTTGCCATAGTGACGATCATGCTTACACTTCAAAACGTGTCTTTCTGTCGCCTTTCAGTAAATGAATAGCTTGTCTGTGAAGGAGTTTTATCTTGTAACTGGAGCAACAGGGGATGCATCTCCTCGAAAAGTCCAAACTAAATTGGTCTGTCTGTCTTCTCCCAGTGCATTCTGGGATAGACTCCCACCACCACCCCGAAGCATGGGTTGTATTAAGAGAGCTATGAAATCTCTTGAGGCCCAGAAAGCATTTTCCCCACAGACCACCACTATAGAAGAGACGTAGGCAGGACAGCTGTGAGGTTCTCAGCGCCGAGGCTATGGCCACGTGTGTGACGTCATCCCCATGTATAGTCTGATGTGCATGTGCAGTGGGCTATACAACGCATTAGCAAACCTGGAAGCTAACTCTCTTGGCTAATGTGCTTGCCATTAAGCGATTTCTACTACAGTATACACTAATATATCCATGACCGTCGGGAATAAGACAATGGACAGCTCAAAAATCTTCTATCAGATAATAAATGTAATTGTTTATCACGGTAACGGTACATATCATGACACAGTAATTGTTGGTAAATTCAATTAAGAAATGGTTTACAATAACATACCGTCCTTCATGACATTTGATTATGTTATTTAAAGTAAAATAAATGATTTGGAACTTCCATACAAACCAAAAAAACAGCGTCCTCACGTGAGACAATGAAGTTCTTTCAAAATGGACACATTAAGGTTCCTTAGGACAATAATTGTTTCAAACAAATTTGTCTATCATAAAAGAAATAACACAGACAGGTGTAGCACACACGGAGGAGTGTGCTCCTCCTCCTCCTCCTCTTTTCTTGCAGTTCATTTGTGGGGAGAGAATCATTCTGCTCATTCTGTTTCCCAACAGACTCAACTCTGCAAAGGTCCCAGCTCCGCTCCTCCAATTAACAGCTCGCCTGGATTTAATCAAAAGTGTTCTGGAAGAGGATGTCCCTCAGAGATCGAAGGTCAACTCAATAATCCTCAGACACAGGCAACAAGTTTGACATTTACGCATCCGATTAACTCTGAAGTCAAACAGGTTGGACACGAGAAGGAGAAGTTAGGTCGGTACAACGCCCACATTAATAAAAAAAAGATATACATTAAGAACTTAAATATGTTCAAGATATGAATGTATGTATGCTAACCAGTGGTTAAACAGTAAGTACTGACTATGGAAATCACAACGTCATGATCTTTGTTGACCTGGTCGCCGATAACAGCTGGGTGGTTGGTTGGTTCATTCAGTGCCACATTTTCAACGAAGCCAAACTGAGGAGTCCTATTCAACTAGGCTAAATATTTTTAAATGCTAAATGATCATTTTGGGTGGAGTGAGATGGAGTAAAGGGAGATTTGGGGTTCGTCATTCAATCCCAGGCCCACAAACGGTGTCAACCAAGATCTTAGATTAACAATAATCCCTAAACAAGTACCACGACGTCGGTAATGTAAGTTCATGTATTTCTAATTAGTGGAGAGAATCTGTTTCCATTGCCTCATTCTGGTGCAGACGCATCACCAGTTTTTGGACGCTGGTGCAAAAAGTTAAAACAAAGTTACCCAGCTTTAATTTGCTCCATCATTTTATGATCCGCACGCAGACTAAGGCGACAAAACGCATCACCCCTTTCTGATCATATCCTTGTGAGCGATTAAGTGAAACCGCTCACTTATTATTAGTTATTATCAGAAAATGTTCCTTCTCTCAGCCGGCGCCGCCTCCAACCGCAATCCAGCCGATGGAAGGAGTGTAATTATGTTTGTCAGTCACCTGTAAGAGTACCCCTCCACACTAATGAGGGATCCTGGAACACAAGTCTCCCCTCTTTATGTTGGACGCGCAGATTCGATCTATACCCCTCAAATCCCTGAGATGAGATGAAGAGCCACCAGTCAGTCAGCTGATCCCATCCTGGCTTAGGCTCCGTGGCCACACTGTCAACAATCTGATTATTGCTAGCCCGCAGACCACACACACACACGGCCAACTGGCTGCCAGCCAGCGCACACACAGTCACATGTATTGAGGGAAATAGGGACACACACACACACACACACACACACACACACACACACACACACACAGAGCAAACCCTAATACTGTAGAGTGGTTTAAAGTCCTCCTGTCCTGCATTTTAAGTGAAGATAACTTTTCCCTGAACATTGTGAGCCCACTGCTCACGATTGTATCATTGTTGCTATTTCTAATAATATTGGGGATTGGAAATGCCTCCAATGCAGCAGCTCATTGTCAGTGCAACACGAGTCACTTGCCACCCGATCTGTACGTCTTGCCCGGTCGCTGCTGCACATGTGCAAACTACAATTACACACCTGTGGTTAAAGGCTGCCCTGCACCCGGGAGCAATTGAACGGGCCGGTGGGTCAGCACACACGGTCCCGCTCGGCTGAATGAAGCTAACAGCTAACGTTAACGTTAACGGTGGTTGCTTTGAGTTGCATTGTGACGCGTTCAAGCTCCGTCCGGTAGAACATTTTTCACTGGGCGAAGGGGAATTATAACCAGACTCTATCATCCGTCCATTATCTGAACCGCTTATCCTACTCAGGCGCTGGAGGCGGTCCCAGCTGACACGATGCGTTCAAATGTAGTCTTGTAGTTTTTGGCGAGAAACCTGAATAAATAAAGTTTGTTTGAAGGAGATGCTTTCACAGCAATATCACAGCAATATGAAATAGATATAAGATAAGCTGGAGTTATGACACTAGCACTTAGTAGCTTATAATATACGTATATATACATGTATAAATAAAAATATATATTAATAAAACATACGTATGTGTATATATATAATATAGGGATTATATATTAACGCGCTGGTATTGGTTCTCAGTACTTGATCAGAACATCTCTATTATTAGGGATATAAACCATTTCTTGCAGCTTCCAACAGCTGACGCCAGAGACTCCTCTCAGTGTAGAAGCCAAAGTGCAGCAGTAGTTCAGTTGGTAACAAGTGGAACTTAACTGCAGCCCCACTACCAGAACACACAGCGCACAGAACAGGTGCCAAGCGCCTACTACTCACACACACACACACACACACACACACACACACACACACACACAAACAAACCAAAAGCAGGATTGAACTACACACTCTCACGCGCAAGCAGCGGTTGCAACGTAACACACACTCTCAGCGAAGTGATTTGCACATTTGCACATTGCACAAAATTACCACTGGAATACTTAAGTCTGCCGGCTCACAGGCCCTCACGTGGACACCAAAATAAACACAATCCCAAACTGTATTTACATTACGTGAGAGGAAGTAACTCTAACTTATAAAGAGATACAGACAAAATGCTTTTCTGAGATCAATTCAATCAGCCTGGTCTTGTAAAATATCATGCTCGATATATTTAGAGCAGGCAGGACTGTCGCCAGTCTTTACGCCGTCCACAGGATCAACACAGATCCACACTAATGGCTGTCAACATTGTTGGTTGAAGGTTCCCTTTGTCCTAAGAGCAAGTGTTTGTGAATGACTCACCACACTTTTTCTCCATTGCTCAGGTTTGCAGGTGTGGTGCAGCCTGCACCAATTTATGCATGTGTGTGTGTTGCCCTGGATACAAGCTGTTTCTGACACAGGACCCTGCCATTCTTTAAATACCACTTTTTATAGTATTATTATTATTCTGGGGTCGGTTTTTAGAAAGATTTGGTGTTGATGAAAAAAAATCCTGTCATGTTTCTTTTGGTGAGCTTCAACTTCATCACCTTTTTCTTTGCTGGTGTACTTTGTCCATGTTTGACATCCTATGCTGCCACTATTTCCCAATGCTATCTATAATTTAGACTTTTTCTCTTTGGCAAAACCATTCTACTATAAAAAAAACTCTAACTACATATATTTAAGGCTTGACCCCTTGGCCCAGGAGCCCAAGGTGTCTAAACCAGAACCAGCGTGGCAATAAAGAAGCCAGCATGGACATGTTTATATGGATGCCTAATGCATTCAATTGAGAAAAGAAATATTTGCTCTGTTTTTATGAATTAACAAGATAATCTGAGGCAGGTTTTCAAGGAAAGAAAATCCTGATTTGATTGTCTGAATGAACAATATATCATAAAATCCCAAGAGAAGCTCTCATTTACTCAAGAGCTCGATTTCTTAGAAGCAAACGTCTCACATCTGTTTAGTTTAATCCAGCTTTGTTTTGGTTTGAGTTCCAGACATTCAGTCTGGCTCTGTGGTGTCTCTGGAGACAATCAGGCAATTGTGCTTAAGTTGCATTCACGTCATTCTTCATCGGTTTCTCAGTGCTGGATTAACCTAAGCAGGCGGGACATTTTGTGGGACATTTTGTGGGACATTTTGTGGGACATTTGCTTCCATGAAAATAAAGCTCTCATGTATATTACAGGTTCTTGCAGGATTCTAATTCATTGAAAAGCTTTTACAGAATTACCGAGATGATAATGAGCAGATTGTTTTTTATGAAAACTTTTCTCAGAAATTACAAAAATAACCTCATTAAATCCAAAGAACAGAGCAGGGTTTTTCTCAGAATTACTGAGAAAATCCTCTGGTTAATTCATAAAACCATAAAAAACAATGCTTTTCATTCCAGATGTTTATGCCCTTTTCTGTAGGATGTTTAAACCTTGTGCTCACCATGTCCTTTGGACTGACTCTGCCAACTGCAGTCATATCGCATGGTGAACCCGGAGTGTAATTTGTGAAGAAATTGACCCATAAATGAGGGTTTGGTGGTACTGTGGTTAAACAGATCATATTTATAAGATTCATATGATCCGTCGTCACATTTGTGGTTGAGAGGAAATACTTTATTCATATGCTTTAACTGAGTCTGAGCCTACCTGTGCATCAGATTGTATTGCTATACAGTGTGTTGGAGGTATTTTGTTGATTTAATGAGAGTTATGACACACACTTTTAGGTGGTGTTGCTATTATTTTGTCCAACAGCAGCAAGGTGTCTAAGGAAGGCAGAAAAACGACGGTACATGAAACGTAAAAGATACATTTCAGAGTTGAATAGACAGCTCCTCGTGACACTAGGCTCTTGCTGGCGTAATAGCCACCTTACATCCTCAACAACACATCGAGTGAGTCTCACCCACCTCTTTCCTCTACTGTACCATCTGAGCCAGGTTCCCATGTAGGCGCTCACCTCAAATAGCTCAAGACAGAGTTACATCAGATCCTGTGTCAGTGTTTATCTTGAAAATTCCTCTAAACTCAAGTATCAAACTCCAGGCTGCTGGTTAATGCCTGAAATGATACTCCTGGTTGCTTCTCCGGGTATTGTGATCCAAAAAGATCAACAATCTTGATTAAAACACAATGCTTTAACATCTTTATCCGCTGACTGACCAGCATTGTCTACTTATGCTCTATAGTTTACTTAATGCGGCACAAATCAATGTTTTTAAGTTAACAACAGGACAAAAGAGAAATAAGAAATGTGAAACTTGTCTCTCAGTGGGGCGAATCCACAGAGAAGAATCAGCCGACTCTGCGGTTCCCCTCAGCTCTAAGGAGAGTTTGCAAGAGACAGCACTCCGTATGAATATTAATGCTACTTCCTGTTTGTAGGTTTAATTGTTTCCTAACCTGTTCACCGTATCAACTAAGGTGATAATACGCCAATGTTAACGACTTGTTATGCTGTCCCTAAATAGGTTTAACTGTCCACTATTAGCTAATGTCAAGATGTTTGAACAAACAACTAGTTTCAGACCAAGGTTGTTCATCAGGAGTTTCCCACAGGGCATTTAATTAGGGTTGCTCATTTAGATTTTTCCTTTCTGACTGATAGCCGACCCTTAACCGTTGACCGACAGAATTAGTGCCTAACAAGCCGCTCAGCAATAACCGATGAACAGACATCACGTTATAATATTGGACATTATCGTACAGTGCCTTGGAGAAGAGAAGAAGGGGAGGACATGGATGTTGGCGTGGCACATACAGGCACACTCACCTCTCTGTCTCTCTCTATCTCCAGGCCGGCCTCCAGCAGGCTGGCCTCAAATTCCTGCCTGATGAGACGCATCTCGTGGTCGGCGGGCTCCGTTGGCTCGCTCCCTCCCGCATCACCGAGCTCCATGAAGACCTCTCCGACTCGCGCATCCTCCCCTCCTGGTACGCTGCCTCCTCTCCCGGCCGCCGGCACCGGCACCAGCACCGGCATCGGCGCCAGCACCGGCACCGCCGCCGCATCCGAGCCCGCCGAGGGGGGAAAGTTGCCGTTGGAAACGATGGACAGCCTGTCGTGTGACACTGAGGTGCTGGCACGAGATCGTATGGAGCCGTGCCGCCGCTGGTGGAAGACCAGGACGTAGTCAACTTTCCGCCTGCCGTCAGAGAAGTAAAGGCCCTCTTCGCTGCCCTGAGGGCTTGAAGGTGGGCCCACGACCTGAAGGGAGCCAAGGGAAATCAAAAAAAGAATGTAAAATATACAGTAAGCTGCACTGCAGTAGCACCAACTTGCATTCATCATTTCAAGACCTGACGATCAATCTAGCTAATACGCATTGTTTAAAGAGCGCACGCTCAGGACCTTTACGCAGCAGTGGCGTTACGTAAGAACCGTTTGAATGGACTTAAACATCTACTGCACTGTCAGCACACGCAAACAGAAGTGGCTTTTGGCAGGTTCTCAAAAACACTGAAGTGAGAACCTTCAGCAGCAGAGTGGGCAGTCAGCTCACCTCTGGCAGTTTTATTCTTTATTTAGACAGAGGGAACGTAGAGAGGGAGACTAAACACGGAGGACACAGGAGGGAACGCTCTATAGGCTTTGGGCATGATGAGAGGGAGCTTTCTTACTTATCAGCAGGGCAGCTTGCTGTGCCTTTATGCTAAGTTACATTCTACTCTATTTGTTGGTCACAGCTCTATATATCGCATGAAGGTCACTAGGTTTTTATTTTGTTGAGACAATAAATAACGCAACATCACTTATATAAATTAGATGGATAAATAGATGGGCACATGACCAAGTTTCACATTTAGTAGACCAGGCTAGCTTTCAATGTCACTGTGCAGTAGCTTTGCCAATTGAAACAGAATGAATGCTAGCGGAGGAGGCTTTATCTATGCTTCCAAAATATGTTTCAGATGTGTGGGAAAATCTATCTTTTAACCCTGCAATGACCGGCCACTTGGGCGCAGCAGTGACAATTTGCGAACACAGCATTGACATATCATCATCTTATAAAGCGATGTGGTGAACGTGTTAGCAAGCAGTTGCGTACGTATACAAGCCAGGAGTTTTTAACATGAGCATTCATTTAGAGCCGTGTTCCTGGCCACCTGGCAAGCGGGCGTCCTATAATCACTTTCTTTTAGCTCTGCCTTTGGTCTCCACCGTGGTCTCATCCAACTTCCAAGGGAAATATCTGTCTCTTTAGTGGCTAAATGCTACGCTATGTTCAGCAGCTAGTTTCTAATTGTGTCTGTCTGCTGTGTGGGTGCTGAGGTAGTGTACCGTGGCTTTTTAGAGTTTTGAAAACAGATGCTTTCTGCGGCTAAAAACGACCCTATGAGAGCCATGAGTTGTGGGCAGGACAGCGAAACAATACGCCGAAACTCTCTTCTGTAAAGCCGATAACCTTTCTGTTTTGAATTGATTCGTTCTTTGTCGATTCACGAACAACCCATTCTGCAATGTTAAATTGTGTCAGAATGTCATTTGATCCATTGTTAGCGTGTTGTAGAGGTGTGATGATGTTTGATAAGCTAGCAAACAAGTTGAATCAACCTCCCACTATAGAATGGGAGCTATGTAACAGTCACAGCTTTAAGTCTTGTATACCATCATGGATATATCATACTTGTCATAGAGATATGGCCATAATGCTTTGTGTTGCTTCCAATTCCACATTAGCTAAAATATTTAAAGGTCCCCTGGTACCCATGGTCCTCCCATGCAGGTAATTGCATTTATTTAGACTGATTGGACCTCTTCTAAGGCGTGCACACACTGTGCCTGATTAATATCTTCCTTGCACTCTTTGGGTAAAACAATTTACACCTTTCGAAAATGTTTGCATGGGTTGTGCCCAAAAACATGGCATATATAGAGAAGGGAGATGCACCGATACTGATCAGATATCTATGCGTCCTATATTGATTCAAATAGCTGGATCGGTTATTGATGACAATACTGTAGGCCCACTTGGTATTGAATACTATTATTTAATAGATAACAACTCAGTACATTTCTATCTATGTATCTATTTGTTACATTTTGTTTTACAAAGTTAGGAGAGCAATAATGAAGTCAAGTCAAAACTTAAAAATCTCTTTAACTTGTGTTAAACAAATATCTTATTTTACCCATCCAACCAAAAACACATTCAAATAACCCAGTGACTTCGAGACGAGGGAACCGGAAGAGCATAAATGCTGACTCATTTCCAGGTTTTAGGACTCATTCCTGCATTACTCTATTATTTACTACAAAATGTACTACATTTAATGTTTGCCATTTTATTTGATTGTGTGGAAATCATGCCCTATATAGCACACTCAAAAATCCCCACATGTAAATACCTCTCATGGAATAAGCCATTGAGTGTTTTTTTAATGAAGAATAATAAATGAGTGAACCTTGGAGTGATTTTAGACACAGTTTGATGACCTCACATAATTTCCATCATAGCTCTAATCAGCAAACGTGTTCTTCAAACAATAAACTGTACACTTAGATAAACTGTCAAATGTCAAAAAAATAACAGTACCTGTTATCAATTGAACTAGATTCACTGTGACGTGGAAACATCTACTGTCAAGTAAAATAGTAATATCCACTAGAAGTTTTTGGAAGTTCTCCACAGCTGAGACATACATGTAGGCTATGCTAACACATGGCTGTTAGCTATTAACTTCTGGAACTTTCCCCAAAGGGGTTCTGTCTGCTGACACGTCTTCATAAAGAAGAATGTATAGCAAATATTCCAACATTTGTTTAACACCTAGCTAGCGCCATGTAGGTTCCAAGGCACTCTTGTTGGTCAACAAAATGTCACCTGGAGGTTGTCGGAAGGTTGTAAATATTTTACAGAACCTCACTTAAAATCTTAATAATACACCGTAAAATATTTCGTCGTTGGGTAGTATGTTGCCTGTATATTGGGGGTCTGAGTCTCAACATTAGTAATTACAGAAACACTTTCTGAACAGCGGTTTAGAGTGAGCTCACCGTAAACAGCACCACCGAGTTTGCAACAATGTCGCCAAATGTAAAATAGCTGTGAAGAGGATTAAAGTGGGTTGCGAGTCACAAAGCTAATTAAACAAAGCACTAATGAGAAAAGCAACAGAGTGGCGGCGGATGGATACGGTTGTACTTACAGGGATCTTGTCTTCATTCGGGGAGATCTGCATGTTGCGCTTTAAAGACACACGGAGAAGAAGAAGAAGAAGAAGAAGAAGTAGTAGAAGTAGAAGAAGAGAGGGAGTGAAAGTTGGCGGTTCTCACGGATAAAAACAGCCCTATTCATCATCACCACCTTCATCCCCATCATCCCCGGATGACACCTGGGGTCACTCCAGTTAGTCCGCGGTCCAAGAGCGGCTCATCTGCACAAGAGTTCATCGTTGTTGTCAAAGAAAGACGAGTGAGATTTAAAAGGCTGCGCGTGTGGACTGATCGCATGCTGGTGATACCCATCTATTCCACTGTGTGATCTGGAGGATGGCTGCGCACCGCCGGCGCTTTTGGCACGGCGCATCCCACGCTGTAAAAAGTGTCTGCCTTCAGTCTTGATGCTGAGCATCAAAAATGACGTTTTAAAAATAAAAGAAAAAACGGATTCCTGCCAAACTGATGTAAATTTAAATGATTTCTCTGTGTGGTTTAGACTGTATTTAGAATGTCGGTTTCTGATATAGGTCACATCTAAAATGACCTTTTACATTAAAAAAAATAAAAAGTTGATTTGCAATCTAACGTATTTTATAATACAAAATAAAAATATGCTCTTATTTCGAAAAATGGCAGATTAAGATGGTTATCTTTTGCAGTGTGGAGAGAGGGAGCAGCCTTGGTTGCTCACAGCCCACTGATGTAACCTGGAGAGAGATTTCCTGTACACCATAATCACAGAAGCAACCAAAAAGTACATTCCCATTCAAGGAAACAATTGAGAGTGCAAGTTAATTGTATGGCAGCGTAATGTTGTATAGGAGACTATATTTCTGTCTTCCTCAGAATGAGCATTCATCACAAGGCACCGCTAACCACGAACCTATTTCTAATATCAGCCTTCACCCTCAACTGAAGTCTTTTCCCTAAACCAACTTCAAACTTGGACTCACGTGATCACACTTTCTGTTCAAAGGCACGTTCAAAGTTGGTTCAATTCTCCAAAATATCTGAGCTGCAGCTTTTATTTTGAAAGACTACAACAAGAATAAGCATCTTCAAAAACACATCTCGGAGAACAGCTCCCTCCATCATAGTAGAACATTAAAAGTAATTTTAATGAGATTTTTCTTCTATGTTATGCTAAGTCATAAAATGATGCAATGCAATGCAATGCATTACCCATGCAGGAAATATTACATAATTGACTAATTTTTACAAGTTGCTCCCAGCGTGTGTGAGCAGGCTTTAACTCAAAAGAGGGAAAACAGCACTTTAATGCGTTTTGTTTTGGCCTATCAGCATACTTTCTGTGGTCCTTTTAATCACCTGCAACAAACTTTGCGATTCCTCGGCACAGGGCTCCTCCTTACAATGGACAGGCTCCAGGATGCTGTAGGACATGGCTTCCAGTCCCATCCCGGACATGTCCTTGGTCAGGTGGTACAGGGCCTCGCTCTGGATAGAGGAAGACTCGCTGAGCGCTGTGGCTACTCGCATGAAGCTCGCGCCGTTGCTCCATACTTCTGGAAGACATTGATTTTGGAAATTCAAATTACTGCAACAACGGCTTCAGCATCTCGATTGGTCATTTGGTCATTTAAGACCTCACCAGGAAACTTCATGCTGAGATACAACAACAAAAGGAACTAATTATCCAGAAATGATGTCTTGTGATGTCAGTCAACATCTTGGACATGGAGTTGGTGAGGAGGTACATCTACAGACAGTTAACTCTGGGTAAATATTTCCCACCCAGTGACCACACACACAGAAGTGAACCAGGGAGAATAGAGCCTCTTGGATGATTCAGCTGTATTGATTCAGGTGTATTTTCACATCTTGTCCTGTGCAGCTTTCGTCCATTTATCCAGGCAAAGACAACAATAAAATGAACATTAAAAAAGGAGAAAGTCCCTCCACAATGAAATGATTGGGACACTAGCATGACTATTGCATGACAATGTTTGCACATTTGGTGGCTAAGGAAAGAAAGGCCTCCTGGGAGAAACTGAATCTTAAGTTGTGAAGTGAACCCTGGCCACCAGAGGTGAAAGCAAATGTCTCTGCTCCACAGGCCCACTCTTCTCCAGCAATAGCTTGACATTTTGGGGGAATATGCTTTTGTGCTTTCTTGCTGAGAGTTAGATAAAAAGATTGGTACTACTCTCAAAATTAGCTTAGCACAAAGACTGGGAAAAGGGGGAAACAGCTATAGCTCAGGCCATAAGTAAGACAATCTGCCAACCAGCACCTCTGACGTTCACTAAGTAACACCTCATATCTCCTATTTAATTCAAATTTGTTAAACAAAACAACAAACAATAACAAAACAATAGGAGGTGGTATGGTTTTACAAAAGGTTATGGAGATGCTGAAAAGCAGATTATTTTACCTTTTACCTTTGGGAAAAGCCAGGCTAGCTGTTTCCCCCCGTTTCCAGTCTCAATGCTAAGCTAAGCTAACTGGCTGCTAGCTGTTGCCCTATATTTGAGGGCACTGATCCTCCTTCTCTTGACAAGAAAGCGAAAAAAGCTTATTTCCCAAGATGTCAAACTATTGCTTGACAATGCCATCTAGATGTTCTTGAGGGGTGCCTTGCTCAGAAGCACCGTGACGTCTGTGATTAAGGGTTTTTGTTGTGGGAGTTTTCCTATCAAACATAGGACCTCTTGGTTATGACACGGTCTCACGACTTCTGGGTTTTGAGGACCAGCGTTTTTACCGCTCATTGTTATCTGGAGCCACAGATATGCAAAGTGGCCCGGTGAGGCTTTGTTTCACACTGTGCAAATTGATGCGTGCGTCAGTCAATCACAAACCCTGCCTCGAAGCACTTTACAAAAGGACAAGCCTACGTGGAGCCAACCTCTCAACATCCAGTCTCAAAGCACAAAGAACACAATATAATACGAGGAAATGAAAAGCACAAGCGAGAAAACATTGAAAGTGATGTAAAAGTATTATTTTGTACACAATGATGGGACGGGATGGCAGATTACTTGTTGCTCAATACAAAGCCAATGTTTGTATTGAGGACTCATTTTTTCCAAACTGTTCCTCTCGGGGGGATTAAAGTGCAGTACTGACAAAACAGACATTTCTCCATCTTCATCAATCTGACTGCCGCGTTGTCAGGAGCCGCAACAGATTGCCGTTTTTTTCTTTCTTTTGTGTAATAATGTTACTATGTGTGCGTATGGTTATTTTAGGGACAGCTGTAGCCATAGTAACACACCGGGCCACGTGCTGTGCTCTCATTTCAGCACCACGGACAGCTCTCTCTGTTTCATTCTCTTTCTCTCTCTCTCTCAGTTTGTGTGCAACATTGCGCAAAACATTGTTTATGAGCTATTTTCATATAATGTCTCGATGGAAGCCCTTTCGACCTAAAAGGAGAAATATTCCATGTCAACAGTTGTGTTTCTCTTCCTCACAACTCACTTGACAGCAGCACAGTATAGCCTGGAGGTTAGAGAGGCAGGCCTGGAGCTGGAAGGTAGCCAGTTTGAATCTGGCAGGAGGGGGAGTGAATGAGAAAATCCCTCCTATATAAAGCAGTGCATCACATATTAAAAAAATATGGCTCTGTTGAATGTTTCTGAATTTCAAAATAAAGTAGATTAACCAAATTAATTTTGTCCATTTGGGAACGCTGATTCATCCACAGAGAAGAGATTGCCCAAGTAGGGTTTGGGGGGGACATATTTTAATTTATCTACTATTTCATACTCTTGCTATGGAAATATTGCTCATTGCATCTTTGGGTAATCTATCTGAACTGCTGCAATGCAAATATGTAAATTATAAGTAATTCTATAAAATTGATATACATTTTTCATTTTTGCTCACAGGTTGCCTTTTGTCACATTTATGCTGTTCTTTTATCAAATCTAACACATTCCCCTCACACAAGGAGAGACAAATTAAGTTGACCACCCTTCAAACGCAGACTGGCCAATCACAGAGCAGCATGGGTCTCTCAAACGATGGTTTCAGTTTTTCTTCAGTTCCGTAAAAAACCTGCGGAGCTAACATTAGCAGATTATATTAGCCTCTATTTGAGCTATGGAGCTGTTTTGTTCTAGGAGTGGGTCCCCGTTTGGTTTCACTAAGGCACGAGGATGCTCATGTGGGTGATGTGATACACAATCTCGTTTGACACTGCTCCACTGATGTACAGGTGGTGGTAATGCACCAAGAAAGACAGCAATGCGCTAACAAAGACAGGGAAGAAGTAAGCCCTTAAAAATCGGCTTTCCAAAAGTTTTATTAGGAAGATAATGCATTCCACACATTTCTGACACACACAACATGGAACACTGAATGTAAACATAACTTTTGTTTGTTGAACAGAAAACTCCACAGGTCACCTTTAAATCTTATACAATTGTACGTACGAGCAGGATTTTGTGACGTCACTAGTGAAACCAATCACGGTTCAATATATAAGTTATACAAGTGTAATGTGGACACCTGAAGCCTCAAGAGCAACATTTTCAGAAACTTTATGTCAAGTAGTTAAACTCCTGAAATAAAGCATTTGCACATAGGTTTTCTTTTATGACAGAGAAGGAGATGACAATTCAATACTTTTTAACACGGTAATTGTTTCTTTAATTTGGAGGAAAAAACATATCAGATTGTAAAATAGCTATTCTAAGCTAATTCATTTTATGTGTTCAAACATGTCTGGAGGGGGTCTTTAACTTTCCATGCAGCACTGATGGAACTTTCCACATGCGCTATTCCGGGTAAAACAAACTACGTAGTCTGGCTTGGATGCCAAATCAAGGCAGTGTGCGCAACAGCTGGGAAGTCATTATTGGCTATCAATCGGCCATCAAGGATACGGTATTATAATGACTTTGGAACATAAAACCTCCAGGAGGCTCGATAGTAAATCCTGACATCCCAGAGCTGCCAAATCATTCTCCATGCCGCAGTCAATATCTCCAATTCATTCCCCATGTCACTCTGCCTGCATCGTGTCAAAATGTTTCCCCCCGGAGCAGCCCAGTGAAATGTTGACGCACGCACAAAGTCACTTCCTCTGAAGTCACCTCCTCAGCTCGGGGCACTCTCTAAAGAGGGAGGGCTGCTTCTTTTGTCCTCTCGGGGTTTATGAGAATGTCAGCACTACCCTGCTGTATCAATAAACTAAAAGGGCCATTTGAAATCACTCTTCCTCACCTTACTTACAGT